ATATCCGTTAGAAGAAAAACCATTATCTCCGGGTGATTTGATCGCCCATACAATCAAATCAAGGTTTCTATAAGTGTAGTTCTTCGTATTTAAGGAACGATCTTGTGATTGCCAATTAGTATATCTTGAGATATTAGTTTGATTATCCTGCATAAACTTACCAAAAATAACACTTATTGAATCTGACAAATAATTTGAGTTTGATGACAAAGTCCTTTCATCGACTAAGTCTGATGACTCAGCATTTATCTGCATCAAATAACTTAAGTGTAATTCTGATTAGTAAAAGATTATTTTGTCATTCGTCAAAACTAATTAGGGATTTTGCTCAACAATCTGTTAGTCCCGGGTTGACCCTGGAACCGGACCGGACCCAAAAGGTCAAACTGGTCCTCGGTCCAGACTCAACAGGGTCAGTTCTCGGTCCAAAAAATTGGGGACCAATACTGTGTGGGTTGGTCTTTGGGTTAGGTGCTGGATCAGTCCAACCTGGACCATGCTCACCCCTAGCAACCTTGATCATCATCAGTTAGGAACAGAGGTGGGTCTCGATGCATATCAAGACAGAAGCAAGGTCGTCGTCAGCTCTCAATTGGGTTCGCAAGACAGTAGGGACAGCAACAGGTGACTCAAGTCGCCAACGATGCAGGGAGTGGCTCTGGTTAGAGGCATCGACAAGAAAGGTTGTCGCAGTGGCTAGTGGGACTCAGCGAAGCAGCAGATTGTGGTTGGGCCAACGAGCAACAGTAAGAGGCTCTTTTGTGAGCTCAATTAATGACAGTCTTGGTCCCTTTAGAGCCTATTCTAATTAAATTCAAAGCCTCTTCCATGCCTTTGCCGAATTTCTCCCTTCCTCGTAGGCCTAGTCCATTCAATTAAAGTCATAACCACTTGTCGCCGGTCTGATTAAAATGCAATGAATTTACCTAAACTATATGCAGTTTTTTCATGAAAATTAACTAACATTTTTGCTAGGGGCTAGGATCGGTTCCTAATTTTTTATGCAATAAATCCCTTAATAACTAATCAAAATTTAGGTGTCAACAAAGATACCTTCTTTTCTAATGAAATTATGTAATGTTTCTATCGATTTCCAGGAAAATGAACCAACCTTAATGGCAAGGGTCAAAAGAAGTGATGCTGATAAAGCTGATCGGTATGTCCATAGTGTTACTTTACATAATGTGTTGGACAATTTTGCTATTGCCTTCCTACTTTTCAGCAGTTAACACGGTCTCAAATGTAGTGCTCCGCTTACCAAGGCTTAGCAAACTGCTAATGTACTTTTTGAGGTGTTGAAAGCTGTTCAAAAGGAGCAATCTATTGATTCGGAGGTACAGCTTTCCACATTTCTTGAATTTATTACATGATGTATATCTTGTCTGAAGGGAGGGTATGCTGATTGGAATGAGATGTTTGTCATATTATCAAAATTTTCTCTTGGCTAACAGCAGGTGCAATGTACTGTATAGCCAATTTGACCTAGTGAAAGGATTCTGCTTTCTTTTTCATAGAACACGTCTGCGAGTAATATCTCTTCGCATTTATGTTTGTGCAGATTTTGGAGGCTCGGGATGAAGTACTAGAAAAAGCGCAAATTTACGTTCCTTACAACATTCTCCCTCTGAATCCTGATAGTGAAAATCCGCCGATTATAAAGTATCCTGAGGTTGCATCCCCACCCAAACATTGAATGTCATGCTATGGCCTTTATTTTTAGCAACACATGAAAATCTTGCTACATGTAATATTCTTGCTCTGTAGATCCAAGCTGCTGTTCTGGCGCTTCGGAATATAGGCTGCGTTTGGGAATAGCTTTCCCAAGGGCCTTTAGGGGTCCAAAGCTCCTTCAGCCAAATATTGGGCGTTTGGTAAATTTTTTGCAACTCACCTTGAGGAAAAGAAAGCCTTCGGAAGGCTGAAAGCCCAAGGCAGGTCCTAGGCTGCCTTGGGCTTTCAGCTTTCTCGGCATACAACTCCCTAGAGTAAGTGAAAAAAATTTCTTCCGAAACTACCCTCATCTTTTTTTTGATTTTCTAGTTTTGGCCTCGTCTGTACTATTCATCATCTTCTTTGCTGAGACCTCGACAGCGTGATTGTGAGGCGAAGGCGATCAGTCGGAGGGGGGCCAGTATGGTCGCGCAACCCACCGACCGTCGCCTGGGCTCGCACGACCGCCGCGAGGGGTCACGCGACCCAGGCAAGGGCCACCTGAGGTCGCGCGACCTTGACGACCCTCAAGGCCCGCCGGCGACCCAGATCCGGCGCCGGCGGCTGTCATTTGAGGCGAAAGGACCTCTGGTAGCCCTCGGCGACCACCAACGAGCTGAGGTCGATCGAGATCTGCGTCTGAGGTGAGATCTGCGAGGCGCCGGCGCCGGATCTCGCCTCAGTTGCGATGTGGGTCGCGGTCCTTTCGTCGGTACCGATGAGCTGAGGTCGGTCGGCCTCGGGCGAGGGCCGCGAGGCGTCAGATCTAGGTCGCCGGCGGCCCTCGCCTGGTTTTGGCGACCCTCGTCGGGGGTCGCTCGACCCCAGGCGGCCCTCGTCGGTGGTCGCCGAGGGCTGCCGGAGGTCCTTTCGCCTCAGACGACGGCCGCCGGCGCCGGATCTGGGTCGCAGGCGGCCGGCTGCCCTTCGACGGAGCCAGCCAAGAGTTTCAACATTTTTAATAAAAAATAAAAAAAAGAGCTTTGCAAGTATAATTTTTCCAAACGTTATTTTACCCAAAATTACTTTGCAAAGGACTTTTAAGTTACAATTTACCAAACACAATTTGCATTTTGAAAAACCCCTTCAACCTAAAGTCGTTTACATTTCCCCAAAGACTTTCCCCCGAAGCGTTCCCAAACGCAGCCACAAAGGGCCTTCCATGGCCAGAGGACCACCGAAAGAAGAAGTATGCAGACATTCTTGATTGGCTTCAGGCAATGTTTGGATTTCAGGTATGTGGACTTAAGGAACTTCATCCATTTACTCTTCTATTAGTTTGCTTTGATTTCTCATTATAGTTTGTAGCAGATAAGCAGTTGTATTCATACTAATTCTGGTTCCTTGGACATACAGAAGGATAATGTGGCAAACCAAAGGGAACACTTGATTTTATTGCTTGCAAGTGTGCACCATCAGCGAATTCGAAATCCCGTCCAGCCATCTGAGGTGTCTTGCACGCAATTAATCCTAGAAAATGCATCTATTTTGTACTTCTTCAAGTAAATTATTACAGTATGCGATATCTTTTTACTGGATAGTTTTCGTATTGGTTTGAGGGATAGGTTTCAATCAATTGCATAATTGCTACTTTTTGTCTGAAGAGTAGGTGATGTAACCCATTCGATGGACGATCCTTCCATACTTCCAGTGAGAAACCCTCTTGTAACATCCAACAAAAAAAAAAACAAAAACCCTCTTGTAACATCCAACCAAAAAAAAAAAAACCCTCTTGTAACTTTCCATATGGATTATATGGCTGGTTTAACAAGGTTATAAATGTTGACTCATTGGATATCTGAGCCGACACAAGAAATATCACCTAGCACGATATTAAAAAGTAAAAAAGAAAAAAGAAAGTCCAATCTTCAGATTGAATTTTCTAATAGTCAAATTGAACATCATCTTTCAACATGGATTACATCGAAACAAACTCTAAGCACACAAATGTTTTTGAGGTAGCCACCGATGCCGTACTAGCCGAGGTAGAGTTGTTTCCTTTCCTATGCTAAACCGCCAATCTCATTCAACTGCAGTAAAAAAAAAACAGCAACGACATCACTATTTTTGTTTCATAAGATACCAAACACATTGCGTTCCTTTTCATATTTTTAATGGGTCGGCGCCCTCAAGTTGGGGATAACGTACGGCCCGAACTGCTTGCCATATTCAAGTTTCGAGGAAACCCAGCCCTACTGGACCCATCACCCTCCCTTTGTTTTCCCTAATCTTGTTGCCCGTAAACGCATGCGTGTTTCTTGGCTGAGTTTGATTTATTGGACTTCATAGCCGTCTAGAGGAGGACGACAAGTTGTAAGGACGAAGGCATATGCCATGAATATAAGTAAACTTCGCCGTTCGTGACTCGTTCTGGTCCTCACATATATGATAATATCTCTATATTTTTGGCTCTTTTCCATCCGAATTAATCCACTGCCGACTTCATATAAGACAACCGAGAAAGTCTGTATGGTGACCTTTGGGAATCTTTGCTTCCGGCGAATATTGTGCTTCCAAGTGTAGCATTGTCAGAATTAGGTCGATGATTTCTGGTTTGAAAATGAATATTTGCCAAAATATATGAAAACTATGACTTGGGTACATCATAAGAAGGAATTGAAAAGGGGCTACCAAAGCAGCCAAAGGATGGTTAATGTAATTCATTAAGTGAAAACCAGGTCAAAGGGTTGAACCAATTGTAGATGAACGTATATGACGGGGAATGACCGTTCATGTATGATTTGGTTGATGTGACATAACTAGTTTTGGATAGATGTGGTACAAATTTTAAGCGTTTTTATGTTTGTTTGATTGGATCCTCAATATTTCCGATTTTGTCCGTTTAATTCCCGAAACATTACCAAAAATGTTTAATCATGGCTTAAGCTGGTTGCAGGCTGCAAATTTTCCCCATAAGAAAAACATTCAAGTTTCATGAAATTAAACATAATTTTGACGATAATAAATGATGATTTTTTTTTTAAATACACGAATTCCTCTCACATGATATTGATTGAGGACCTTGAATCTTTAGACTCAATTTTGAGAATATCGATAGTCCTATATCTATGTGAGTGTCGATCCAGTATATTCTCAGCTCTTGATTGCTTATCATGCAGTTATTCTGATTGTACTCTAATTTTGGTGCGAGCTGAAGATAACTTCATTCTGGTGTGAACCGAAACAGTTGGCAATGGACTGGGTCAACAATGAGGACGCGTGAAAGGGGCTGGCGTGTCCTCTTTGGCCCCAGCTCTCTCTCTCTTATATATATATATAGACGGACTCAAAGCAACCTTTTAAGAAAAAACCCTTCGAAAAACCTCATAATGGGTCTTCAGGGCTATGTGCTCCTAACAAGCTTCATGGCGGTTGTGTTGGGCTCAGTGAGCGAGAGTGGAGCTACGACACCACCCAATTATGGCACTGCTTCGCTCAACAGAAGCAGCTTCCCAGCTGGATTCCTCTTTGGCACTGCCTCAGCCTCTTATCAGGTCAGCTCATTTACATCCGATTCAAACATACATCCCGAATTTCTTCTCTCTTCACAAGGGAGAGGTGAAAATTCCGGTTTTGGCTGTGTTTTTTTGAGGCCCTTGCTTGGCCTTTGGTTCTTGTTCAGTATGAAGGTGCAGCAAATGAAGGGGGCAGAGGGCCAAGTATATGGGACACTTACACTCACAAATACCCAGGTCTCTCTTCCTCTCTTCAACATTCGATACCCTCGTCTAGTCGGGTTTTTTATATACGAATGACATGGTGAACGGAACTAATCATACATATTATGGAAATTGTTGGTATCATAAACGAGTTTAGACGTTGATATCGTCGAACAGATTGTCCATAATTTTTTTTATTGCCCTCTCTCTCGTTCTAAGAGGAGGAGGAGAAAGTGAAATGAGTTGGTGGAAGCATTTCTTTCGGTCTGGAAATTGTCTGCTGATTTTGAAAATGGAAGTTGAGAGGTGGAGGATGTGCGCTCTTCAGTTTCTAGGCAGAAAGCAGTCTAAAGTAGGTGAACCATCCATTCGAGATGAATTAATTGTCAATGTGGGGAGAGAGAGAGAGAGATGATAAATGAGACAATATTTATTTCTTTATAATGATCTTTTTGGACGATTTTGCAACTTGATATCTATTTTGTGCATAATGATATCTTTTTTCAATGACCATAGAAAGGACCACTTTTCTCTACTTTTATTTTTCCTGGGGAAAAGTTGGGGTGTTTTAATAAGCAGCATACATAAATTACTTGAGACAAAAGAGTAATTTTTCTCCCCTAGAAAAAAATTTGAAAATGGTGCAAATTACTACTTCAAAATAAAGAAATAAAAATGATAGTGTGTTTATGTATTTATATTTGTATTTTTGTTTTAATTTATTATCTCGTGAACTGGCTCACATTAATATCTCCTCTCCGTGCATGTGACGCGTTTTGTGATCATTGGATATGATTATCACTTCTCTGGATATATTTCTTCATATATAAGTGTGTAATACAATTGTCCAACTAACAAGGGTTAAAATTTTGTAGACATTGAGTTTTACGACAAGGCAATTGTTATTAGAAAATCTTGTGTTGTGTCCGAATTTAAATTCCATACAATTGTGGTTGGGTTTGTCTCCATATGTCTTGTTTAATGATGGATTAAATGAAATATACAAGGACACATTGCAACATCAAAACCGTGTGAAGACTTGCAATTTACAGAAGGACGATTAAGGTCTTCTCTAAGGCTCCGTTTATTTCGCAAAAAATGAATAATTTAAAAAATATATTTCTAATAATAATCGCTTGTATCTTTTGAAATTACTAGTTAATGAAAAATATTTTAATTATCGACAACAATTTATGTTTATTTTTCGTTCATTCATTTTTGTGAGCGATATAGACGATCTTTTTTAGGAAAGTATTTTTCGAATAATTAATTTTTCATGAAACAAACGCATTCCATATATATGATGAATTGTAAACCGTTAGAATAAGGTGTTGAAAAATGGTGAAACATTCGAGTCCATCGCTGTACGTACGTCAGTGTCTTCCCTAGCTTGCTTGTTGACAAAAATAGTATGGACCATGACATTGACTTAAGTAATATATATATATATATATATATATATATATATATATATATATATAGACACACATGCATATATGAATGCTAGTGCAGATAAGTTAATAAATAGGACGAGCTCGAGCCTGCAATCTTATATATGAGGTAAATGTTATGGACTATAAAATAGAAATGGTGTTGCAAAATCTCTGCTTTCTGATTTTGTCATAATCTGTATCATGTGTATAAGATTTCCATATTATGCAACTTCTCATTATAATTTTCAAAAATCAGTAGCATGAGGCAAGTGGCATCAATTGGAACATTACTAGCGGTAAATAATTTTCATTCCGTCCTGCCGTGTTTTCTTGATATGCATTTAATTCTAGTCTGTAAGAGATTATAAATATTTTCAATTGTAAGAAATGTAGTTTTTTATATATTTACATATACAATTCTAGTGTAGGCTTATAAATTTAACACCAAATGCAACAGAAAAGGGAGAATTCATTCAACACAAAGACTGATTGATTTTTGGGTGTCAAATATAAAAAGTAGATAATTTTGTGGGGAATAACAGATGTCGTGCTTTCATTGCCTTATCTACACATTAGACTTCCGCTGAGTAAACAAGGATGGAGCATTGACCACGACAAAAACAAGAAAGATTGTGTTTTAATCTTTTACATCGCATTCTCTCTTTTTGTCAGATCTATAATGTTTGGTCAAAAATGGCAGGCAAAATAGCTGATGGAAGCAATGGAGATGTTGCGGTTGACTCGTACCACCGATACAAGGTCACTATTTTTTTGCACTCAATTTCTATTTAAATAAATGTTACTTGTAAAAAAATGCCTTTTTTCTTGTCACATCAGATGGAATTTTAAGAGCAAAAACGGGTTAGTAAGAGAAATTTATTATATTTTGGTAATTTTAAAAATTGATGGGGTGCAGGAAGACGTTGGAATCATGAAGGAAATGGGCTTAGATGCTTATAGATTCTCCATCTCGTGGTCTAGAGTTTTACCAAGTAAGCTGGATTAAAATTTAAATGTTCCCTTCAATTTTGCTTTCTTCCTAATTTGCCCTCTTAATTGATGGTGTAAAACGATGGATCCATAAATGACATTTCGAAAATTATTTTAAAATGTCATGATTACATTATCATTTGTTTCCCAAGTTAATAAGACCATATAAATGGTATATTCACTAAAATGCCATTGGGGCAACTTTCAGAAGGAAAGCTGAGTCGGGGTGTGAACATGGAAGGTATCAACTACTACAACAACCTTATTAATGAGCTACTAGCGCAAGGTATTTGCTTGATCTCCTAGATTATTTCTCCAGTTAATTTCACACACCCATTTGATCTTATGATGATTAACTTCTGATATATTCATGTAGGTATTCAACCCTTTGTGACCTTATTCCATTGGGACCTTCCTCAAACCTTGGAAGACGAGTACGGTGGTTTCTTGAGTCCTGGCATCGTGTGAGTTGCTCAAATTCAACCAAATAATGTCTACTTCATGCAACGAGCTGACGTGATATTATCATGTAATTAGTTTTCTTTAATTCATTGTGTTTGACAACAAATGCATATATCGTAAGACAAGAGGAGTCAGTCAGTTTGAAATGATACTGCGTTTAATGTGTTACATGATACCACCATCACACGTATGATATATTATATCCAACATTACTCAAAAGTTCGATAAATCTGTCAAAAGTACTACTAATTGAGTTAATTTAATATTTGAAATCAGGGATGATTTCCAAGATTATGTGGGTGTGTGCTTCAAAGAGTTTGGGGATAGAGTGAAGCATTGGATAACACTGAATGAGCCATTCAGCTACAGTGTTGGAGGCTATGGTATTGGATTGACCCCACCAGGTCGATGCTCTGAGTGGCAAAGGTTGAATTGCACGGGTGGTGATTCTGGGATCGAGCCATATTTGGTGTCTCATTACCAGCTTCTTGCTCATGCTGCGGCTGTTAAGTTGTACAGGGACAAGTATCAGGTGAGCGGTCAAAAACCCTAGCTATTATCATATATGCAGATGTTGCTTGCATGTGTTTAGAGTTGACAATTTGTGTCTTATTGTCTCGTTTTCATTGTTCGGTCCATGTCATTTGTATGCATCGCTACTAAAATTTATCCTATACTCGTCAATTTTGAGTTAATTCTGTACACATGTTGCTGCAAATTTGGATTTCTACCGATAAATTCTTCACTTCATGCTTTGTTTCTGAGCTGTGCTTCAATAATATCCTAATCCAAAATTACCTTTTGTTGATTTATTCGTGAACCAAGTTTTTTGGAACAAGGACGCTATAAATTGTCAAATCACACTAAATAACGTACACGGTGTCACTGTTATTAATTTGAATAACAACTTTATTTTGATGGAGAAACGCGTGTGAGAGAGCTAAATTTGTTTATATGCCTACTAATAATGAGTTTTCTTATAAAAAAAATTTCTTGGTAGCTAACCGAATTTGGTGAATTAAATTTTAATAAATTATTTAATTTTCTTTTCTTACATTTTTATCAAGAAACTTTTAATAAAAATATTGAATTTATGTCAGAAATCTCAAAAGGGGAAGATAGGGATAACGCTAGTGTCGCAATGGATGGTGCCTTACTCAAGTGCCAAACAGAACAAAAATGCGGCATCAAGAGCGCTAGATTTCATGCTTGGATGGTGAGTGTGCCTTTTTTTTTTTTTTACAATGTCTTTTCTTTCTTTTTCCAATAGTTATGATTGTTCAAAGTGATTATTAGTGGTTATATTTATATCTAGATGCTACATCCCCAATTTATTTTTTTCTCCTCTTTTTTTTTTGTTGGTCATTAAGATTCCATTATGGGCGCTGATTATAGCCAAATGGCACTCTTTCCTAAACCCTAAATAAACATCTAAAATCTAATTAGTACGATGAAAAAAAATAATGTTTTTCGAGATAAGGTAAGAGAGTGAGATGAATTTGCACGTGCCACTTAATCCACGTCACTAAGTAAGCCCAGCCCACTTCGTAATCATCATCTGTTTAGTAAATGGACAGAGATAAGAAAATTTACTTGAATCAATTCCAAAAGTTGAAAATTATTTTCATGGGCTAATTACATAGAATCATTACATGCATCATGAATAGTATGCAACACAGATATTAAGTCTATGTTAATTGGATCATCAGGTACATGGATCCATTAACTCATGGAGACTACCCACGTTCGATGCGCTCTCTTGTTGATGAGAGACTTCCCAAGTTCTCGCAGAAGCAATCGGCCATGTTGAAAGGCTCGACCGACTTTCTTGGGTTGAACTATTACACTGCCAACTACGCCGCCGACTCTCCGCACTTGATGGGCCCGAGCCCGAGCTACTTAACGGATACCCGTACCAATATTTCGAGTAAGATTACGATTGCAATTAGTTTCATCGAGTTTCATTATCGAGCATTGATTAAGTTTAATGAATAATTTCTTCTTTTTCACCTTATGAATTACTCTTATTTTTTGTAGCTGAGAGGGATGGCATCCCAATTGGTCCAAAGGTGAGTGTCCGTTTTTAGTCGGAATTTCCCTATTTTGCTATGTACTTCATGACATGAAAATGAAATGAGAGAAAAAAAAAATGAAATAGTTGCTTGAACACAGATCATCCACTGCTTTGGCTCTGCGTAACTTGCAAACGAAATAAACGGTCAATTTTGTCTTCTTCTTTTTTTATTCGTAGTTTATTTTCTAGTTGATGAAATCCATGTACTTCAAAAATCAAAAAAGAGGTGAATAAATCTGATATTTATTTTAATGAAATGAACAGGCTGCCTCGGATTGGTTATATGTGTATCCTGAAGGAATACGACGTATTCTGCTGTACGTGAAGAAGAAATACAGCGACCCTCTCATTTACATCACGGAAAACGGTAAAAATATTTACTGTTTTGTTACATAGACACTTTTTTAGTTGATTGAACTGATTAGCCTTCAACTAAGCATGGCATTATACTTTATAAAATGTGCATTTAGTTAGAAACTCAATCTTGGGTTTTTTTTTTTTGGTATGTTTCTTCGAAAAAGGCTGTGGAAAATAGCCATCCCAAGAATACCACACATTTATAATCTTGTTTCTATTTTAGTAAATGCGTTGATCTATTATGTATAGATATATATAGTTTGCTAGTTTTAAATATATTCGCACTCACGGTGTCTTGCACAAAAGTATCTACTACATATGCCATTCAAACAAGTTACATGGATTCCTTTTAATAAAAGGGAAATGTATTATGAAATTTTAAGATTTATCATGCATGTCTCCTTTGTCCTATAATATTCTTATTCAGATATTTTCACATGTTTGACATTCTTTCACATGCATACAGGCATTGATGAGTTCAATAACGAGACGCTGCCTCTCGAGCAACAGCTAGTCGACAACATGAGAATAGATTATCATTATCGTCATCTTTCCTACGTTTTGAGAGCAATCAAGTGCGTATCTCTCTCTCTCTCTCATAGACCATTCTACTCTCCCATTTCCAAAACACAATTTTTTTTCCATGCCGATAATTTTCAAAAAGAGTTGCCGAGTGTCTAATTTGAAAAAACCCACATAGACGCCAGTAATTAAATCAACGAGAGTTGATTACTTAGAACTACTTGATATATCACTTAAAATCCAAGCTATTTATTGAAGTTGATAACTTAAAACTGGTAGACAACTTAATTGAAGAACAACTGATAAGTGGGTCTTTATTTTGGTAATTTCTAGAGAGAGTTGGTAAGTTAGGGCATTGCTATGAAATGAAAATAAAAGTTTGCAAATGATAAGCAAGGTTGGAAATAAAAAAAAGAAGATAAGTATCGGTAAATAATTCAAATGAAAGTTGCTAATCATCCCAATTCTAGATGGTAATTTCATGGAAAAGCTTGTTGAGTACGCTGATTTAGGTTGGTAATCTATGAAAAAAGTTAGCAAGTGTAATGAGTTGCTAATCAAGGCAAATGAAAGTTGGTAGCTTTAAAGACAATTAAACTTTTGGAGTTGGTAATTTAACTAGATAAAAATTGGCAAGTCACTCTAATTTAGGCACAAAATTTCATATAAGAGTTTGTTAATTCAAAGTGTCAAAGCGTTAAACGAATCATGCAAATAAAAGTCGCCAAGTTAGTATAAAAAAACTAACTTGCTAATTATTAAAAAAAAAAACTTGGCAATTTTCATAAAGACTTCGGTAAATTACTAACAGGTTACCTGGAATAAAGTCATAGGTCATTTTTTCACCAACAACTTGATGACAGTTGCCAACACTAATTGAAACTTACCAGCACAGAGCAAAAATCTTTAGAAAATAAAAATTTGGGCATAGAACAATAGAATTCCGCCTAACGCATGAAATCTTTTATTTTCTTGACATGATTTCTTGGTTCTTTGGTATATTATAGGGAAGGTGTGAACGTGAAAGGGTATTTTGCATGGTCGTTGCTAGACAATTTCGAGTGGGGCAACGGGTACACCGTCCGGTTCGGCATCAATTACGTGGATTACAAGAATGGGCTCACAAGATACCCAAAGCTCTCGGCCACTTGGTTCAAAAGCTTTCTCAATAAACCCTAACAATACACTCAAATCTCAATTTGTGGATTTTCTATTTGCAAACCGCAAAACTCCACTCTTCAAGTTGATTAAATGAGATTTATATAATTTTTATTTCTTTTATTGGTTTGGCTATGAGTAGGCCCGTGAGTTGGGTCAGGTTTGGGTTGGATCATAATTGGTCCGATCTAAATTGATCAATTTAACCTATTTTGACTCATTTTATTTGCTATGCAAATTTCTCAACCCATACTGGACTCGACCCGTACCCGACCTGTCTTGGGATTCATTTTTAGCCTTTTTTCTCCTTATATTGTTGCCCTTGAAGAATGGATAGCTCCATAGGCCAGTTCGTCGAGTTAGTGAGGGAGTTCGAGAGTTGGGTTATGGACGAGGGCGTTAAGGTGGTGGTGAAAGTTCGGGTTGTGTCATCCACAAATTATGAAACGGGTTCAGGTCTTGGTTTTGGGTTAAATATACATGAGATCTTGATATATTGGTTAATGCCTGTTTAATAATATATCATTTGATGCTATGTTTTTCGATTTTAATTACCGATTATGCCATTCTAATACCCAAATAGAAGTGCATGAATATAAAGTAACGAAATCAATATTCATAATAATAAATTCATAAAAAGAGCTTAACATGCCTCAGAATCAGATACTACAAACTACACTCAGCTTCACATTCGAACAACAATCACATTCTCTCAATCAATCCCAATGAAGATTCCAATTGCGAAATCCACAGATCAAAAATCGACAATTTCATTGAAAAGAAGATCAAAAAAAGAAAAAAAGCTGGAGAGAAGCAAAGACATGGGAATTAGGGAGTATAACAAGCGAATCGAGCAGAGCGGTGGGGCTGATTCTGGGAGGTATTGTGAGGCACGGTGAAGCCAAAGCACTCGCCGACATCTCCTCCTCCACCGCCACGTCGATCCTCGCACCGGCCTCTAGACTTGGCGGCTCTCCTCTCTGCGATGCTCCCTCCATTCCCACTCCCCCCTCCTCATCCGCCACTAATCTTCTCGCCCTTGCTCAACGAATCTGTCGAGTTTCCCCACTCCGATGTGGAGGACTCATTTGCTTCCATCACTAACCGACGCGTTGAGGCTATCTTCATTCCTTCTTCCCCTATTGAATTGCGAAACAGAGAGATTGTAAATGGGATAAGTGGGTTATAAATGAGTTCATAATGGACCTTATTCAACTCACTTGTTTTGGCCTCTTTATTTTGTAAACCCATTATGCTGGCTCACGAAATTTAGTATGACCCATTTAAATGGTTAATTAAATAGGTTTCGGACTCATTCTGACAGGTTTAATGAGTATATCATGTCGACATAACGTATTTAAGCATTGAGTTAAGAATGATATATTCACACTTTATCTCATAAAAAAGAGAAAAAAAAAAGAGTTATAGATTTACATTATACAAATTATTTTGTAAGAAATCTAGCCCAAAACTAGGATTTTCGTTACCTCCATTGTCGGTGGGATTTTTTCAATATATATGACGGCTTTAGAATATACTGATCTTCCTGTGGATCGGGAAAAGTGTCAGAAAAGTCCTAAAGCTATTACATTTATGTCAATTTAGTCCTAAATCTTTTAATTGTGACAATTTAGTTCAAAACTTTTTGGGTTTGATTAAAAAAAAAACATCACCTTTACCTTAAGTGACAATTCTGGTCAAAACTTTTTTTCTCATAAAAAATCACAAACTTTAACTTAAATTCCAAATTTGGCCCGAATAATATGAAAATTCACATCACGATGGTCATATAAAAGTTGGTGCTTTTTATTGAGACAAAGAAAAGTTCAGATTAGAATTGTCACTCAAGATAAAGTTGATATTTTTTTTTTTGAAATTAACCCAAACTTTTTGGCATTGTGCCAATTCAATCATTCCAGCTAATTTTGACTGGATAATACTGACATGGACGTTGGTTAGCCCACATGGCACCACCGGCACTGACGTGAATAATTTTTAACAATATTTTAATATTTTTTCAATTTTTTAATTATTTTTTAAAATTTTTTTAATTAATTTTATTTTGTTTTTTCCTTTCTTCTTCGTTTTGCCATTGAATGGCCACCAACTACAGGCGATGGTCGGGCAGGCTGGCCTCGCCTAGGCAAGGGTTGCCGTCGCCCGCCACATGCAAGGCTTGGCCAAGCGAGGGCAAGCTCCGTCGAGGGCTCCCCTTGCCATATTTGGGGAGGCCGGCCCTTGCCTAAGCTAGGGCGGTCTTGCCTGGGCGAGGGTCGCCAGGTTGGCCTGGGCAAGGCCGACCCTTGCCGGGCCTCGCCTGTGGTGGGCGACAGCAATCCTCACCCAGGTGAGGCCAGCCTGCCCGGCCATGGCTAGTGGCCAGCCATCGCCTTTGGTTGGTCACGGGTAAAAGGAAGAAGAAAGGAAAAAAAATAAAGAAAAAAAGAAAAAATATCATTAAAAATTATTCACGTCAATGCTGACAATGCCATGTAGACTGGTCAGTGTCCACGTCAATAATATCCGGTCAAAATTAACTGGAAAGACTGAATTGGCACTAGGTCAAAAGGTTTATGATTGAATTGGCACTAGGTCAAAATGCTTAATACTAAGTTGATACTAATGCAATATATTTATGACTTTTCTAACACTTTTCCCTCTTTGGATTTGATAGAAACAACGAAGTCTCCTGAATTTTACTTAAATAGGACCTTTCGATACTTCGGTGAATAAGGGTTCAAGAAAGAATAGAGATGAAATGTTTAGGCCAGAGAATTCTAGATTTGAAAATGTGAGGGTTGGATATGGATGACCTGTTTGATTTCAGGGAGAAATTATCGAAAAAGTCATAAACCTATTGTACTTGTGCCAATTCAATCTTAAACTTTTTGATTTAGTCAGTTTAGTTCTAAATTCTTTGACAATTCGCCAATTTGGTCATTCTAGCTAATTTTAACTGAAAATCACTGATGTGGTGATCTAGTCAACACCGGCTACCACTACGTGGCATCATTGACACCGACGTAGACAAATTTTATAATTTTTTAACTTTTTGAATTTCTTTTCTTTTCTTTTCTTTTCTTTTCCTTTTTTATTTTTTTGACAATTTTCCATGTTAGCATTGGCCGTCCAACATCGACCATGCCACGAAAGATGACTGGCGTTGAATAGATTGCCAAGTCAGCAATTTCCAGTCAAAATGAGTCGGAATGATTAAATTAGTAAATCATTGAAAGATTGAGGACTAAATTGGCAAATCGTCAAAAGATTTAGGACTAAATTGTTGCAATTGAAAGGTCTAGGACTAAATCGGCAAATCGTCAAATTGTTAGGATTAAATTGACCAAATTGAAAGGTTTAGAATTGAATTAGCACAAATATAATATGTTTAGGACTTTTTTGATAATTTTTTCCTGATTTGAGTCATTGCCTTCCTATCACAGTTGTCAAACTCTAGTCGATAGCCTCTGACCTCCACGTGGCATAACAAAATTTAGGTACAATTGATATGCTACATGTGACGCGGTACGTGAGAAATAAGTGATAGCTAAGCCGAAGATCGTTCTTCGATTTGGTCATACTCGATATTTTGAATTCAGAAATTGGAACTTGGACTTCAGAACATGTAACCCTCGGTTTGAATTTATGAAGTTCCTCTTAGGTTCAGATCAAGTTTGCTCTTTCCTTAAATCTCCTGAAAAAAGCAGACTGTGGTACTCTATGATCAAAATAAGGATGGTGCAATCTTAAAAGAACGAGGTCACCTCTAATTGATTTGGGCTTTTCGGACCGATATAAAGTTGTTCATTTCTAACCCATCTAGCCGAAAAATACATGTTAGATAAATTTGGAGTATATGAGCCCAACTCACAACGTGATCTAAGAGCACATGTGAGTTAGACTTACGTCCACGCGATTCTGGCGATAATAACTCCTTCTAATCTATTTATATTTTTTACCCTCATCGATTTGATTGCTGGAAGTGCATGGCCCAGTCTCTCACTTGTGGGTAAGTAGCATGTTTAGCAAATCTATCGAACTGGCCATTCACTCAAGTTTTTAGATTCTGCATTAGTTATGCAACAATAGTGGAAGATGGTATTTATGAAGAAGATACGTGTAGTAAACATTATGTTTTATGCACATCGTCACTTATTATTATTATTGTTTTGCAATTCATAGAGGACTAGAATTGAAATTAATCCTTATTCATAATTCCATTAGATATTGGTAACAAATGACAAATTAGATCGTGAAATTGAATTAATGTGCACACAAATTAGGATGATTACATTATCATCGGGATATCCACACTCCTCTTATTCTACAAAATAAAAAGAAAGGTGTTTGCAGGTGTTTTTATCTGCAAACACCATTGCCACCACCACGAAATGTCGTTTTCTCAAATGGAAATGCTGTATGGAACTCCCTTCCCTGTCACGCCGGCCTCAGAGAACGGCTTCAAGAGTTCATACGGCACGATCCCGGCTCCGTTCCGATTCTTAAACCTTTGGTCGGCATTCCTCGCGTCGATAATGCCCTCAAGCTCCTTCAGCCTCCCGCTGAACCTCTCGAACGCCGCCTTTATCACAGGCTCCTCTTTCCACGCCGGTTCCGGATTTTGTCCCAGGTACTCCTCGTCCGGCGAGTGGTTTGACAACACATCGAGGATTGCCATCACCTTCGTCGCCTGTATCTGCGACGGGAAGCATGTGAGGAGCGTGCCCTCAGGCTTGTCCCAGAACCTCTTGAGTTCTTCTTCCGTCGGGTCCTCGACGGGCATCTTGGTTCGGGCAATGGTGGGCCGGTTCGGGAAGTAGCCGGCGTAGGTGTACTGGCCGAAGTTGACGGCAGCGTGGTGGCCGGAGGCCACCCAGACCATGGTGGTGATAATGTGTATGAGGTCGGACGGGGTCTTGAGGTCGGGCCACCCAGGGGAGTCTTTCTTGTCGCCGTGGCCGACAGTCCGGATCTCGGTCCACCAGGATTGCAGCTCCTTGTCTGACGCAATGCGGCTCGAGTTGGTGTAGTAGTGGTTGACGTAGTTGGTGACCCACTCCTTGATGGTGTCCCACAAGAGGAGGCCGTCGTTAGCGAAGGGGTAGTCCTCGATCGCTAGCTTA